TTTTATTAATTAATAGATAAAAATTTGTACCATTGTAGTGTTTTATATAATGTGTATTACAAATTTTTCTTAGTTTTTTACGAATCTCTTTTTTTTTCTTTTTTATGAAAAATTGCAAAACAACAATTTCAGAAGAATACTTTTGTGAGAGATAGAAAAGATCAAGTAGTATCGTTTTCATCGTTTTTAGAAGACATAAATTAACACTGAAATTTGAAGAAACAACGTAGGTCTCCTTTTAAATAATATACATTAAAATATACACATTAAAATTGAATAAATAATTTCTTCTAAGAAAAATTTATAATAAGGTATTAAGAGATTAATTTTATTTCCTGTAATGAAGTATATTACTAAGTTTATAAAAAAGAGGAATCAATTGAGCATCGTAAGCACCTACGATTGTCAATGATACGTTTCGTTTACGGCGAATGTATTATTTTACGAGTTTACAGGAATGAAAAGTTTAAAAAAATCGTCCATTGGATAGACCTCTGGTTTATTATTTTACGATATTCCGTTTAAATCCCGTTGAAAAAAAATGTGTGAATATCGGTGCGCTGTCGGAGTAACTAAAACGGGGAATTTCAATGACGCGTCGCAATTTCACATGCGAGCACGAACGAGATTTTACAAAAAGAGTGTTTTACGTGCTCGCATAGCGTAACCATATAACGAATCTATCTGACTTGTGGAAGACAACGCGCTATGTTGTAGTTACATAGATAAAATCGTACGCGCGAAGCATTTCGAAAAGTTTTTAAAAATTCCATTTCGTTATCGAACGTATTCATTTCTTTACTCATCTTCGCTTGAAAACACGTTACCACGATAATTCTTATGTGCTATCGTTATAATTATCCTTGACTTGATAGAGAGAGAGAAAGAGACAGAGAGAGAATGATAGTGTCAGAAAAAAATCTTTCTTCGTCAAATTCAACGAGAGTTCCTTATTCGCGATACAATTAAAAACATAAGAAATCTCTATGCGCTTCAGTACACTTTCATAATTTTGACGTTTTTATTAACGCAAAAGTAGTAGGTAGTAACGTAACGACCAACGTCGTAAGAGCAAAATGTGCGGACTGAGATCAATATTTTATGAAATTTACAATGTCCGCGTGACCACCATGAAAAGCAGCGACGTGCTAACGCAGCACCTGCGTTTTATATACATTTTATGAAAGGCGATGCATTAGTTTTCTTACGAAGAATAAGCTTGGTCAATAAAACGATTATGTTTAAACACGATTTATCTCTTTATACATAAATAATATATAAATAAATATATATGTTTGTATATATTTACTTCACTAACAGTGATATTATGTTCGAAGAAAATAGCATTGCACATTATGAATAAAAGATAATTTTCATAAGAGAGTTCAAAAGAAAAATTTGAATATCTAAGTAATTATCTTTTGTTTTTCTTTTTTTTTTTTTTTAATTTAAATCGTAACCAATACTATAAAACAGTTAAATATAATTGTTCTCTGACTATATAGCGAAGGAAACGAGCATATTTAAAATAATCGATATGAACGACTATGAGCTCTTATATATATAAATTTATAAAGGAATATATTTCTTATTCTTTATTTAATTGTATAAATATGTTGTAAATTGTAAAATATTAAATGCAACAATTAAATATTATTTGTCGATAAACGAATATGCTTTTTTTTTTTATTTTTTTTTTTTTTTTTAAACGTTTCTCTTTTTTCTTTTTTATGAATTTGTTATTTCGATTACATCGATCTATTGAAAGAATCTTTACGTGCAATCGACGATTAATTAACAAACGACGTTTCGATTTTATCAATGCTGCATATCGTATTTTATGTTTTTATCAAAATCGTAAAACCCCCGAACAAAAGTAATTCAATTGAAATTTTCCAATTTCCCACTCGTCGCTGTTATATATCATAATTGATAATTAAACGAATTACATACGGACAATTAATTTGTCCGTGATCGATCTAAATTTGTCA